AACGGGAAAAAAAAATTAGTTATTTTCATGACAATAAAGTGATCAATTTAGTATGCATAAAAATTAATATATATATATATATATAAAAATATATATAATATATATAAATATATATAATATAATATATATATATATATATATAATTTATATCTTAGTTATGCAAGAAATCACTCTCCTGACTTTCTGTAGCCTTATTCATGATGTACATTTTGCCTCTATTCTAGAGCTGGCTCATCCTTTGACAGACTGTCATGTACAGGCAGTCTGTTCCACTCTTTTATTGCTGTACATTAAAATGTATTTGCAGCCTGACCACTGACTCAAGGTACAGCAAAGTTCTTCTCTCTTCCTCTAATTCTATAATTGTTTTGGTTCTCGACCTTAACGAAACTGGCAGCAAGATATTAGGGACAATGGTTGTGAACAATTTTATAAACGATATTTAACTTTAGTTATTTTACACTGTTTTCAACGTTCAGCATAACTAGTTGTTGTAACTCACTCTGGTCTACATGTTCTCTTGGACCCAGGTCCCGTTGTTGTAGTTCACTCTGACCTACATGTTCTCTTGGACCCAGGTCCCGTTGTTGTAGTTCACTCTGGTCTACATGTTCTCTTGGACCCAGGTCCCGTTGTTGTAGTTCACTCTGGTCTACATGTTCTCTTGGACCCAGGTCCAGTTGTTGTAGTTCACTCTTACCTACATGTTCTCTTGGACCCAGGTCCAGTTGTTGTAGTTCACTCTTACCTACATGTTCTCTTGGACCCAGGTCCAGTTGTTGTAGTTCACTCTGACCTACATGTTCTCTTGGACCCAGGTCCAGTTGTTGTAATTCACTCTGACCTACATGTTCTCTTGGACCCAGGTCCAGTTGTTGTAATTCACTCTGACCTACATGTTCTCTTGGACCCATGTCCAGTTGTTGTAGTTCACTCTGACCTACATGTTCTCTTGGACCCAGGTCCAGTTGTTGTAGTTCACTCTGACCTACATGTTCTCTTGGACCCAGGTCCAGTTGTTGTAGTTCACTCTGACCTACATGTTCTCTTGACCCAGGTCCAGTTGTTGTAGTTCACTCTGACCTACATGTTCTCTTGGACCCAGGTCCAGTTGTTGTAATTCACTCTGACCTACATGTTCTCTTGGACCCAGGTCCAGTTGTTGTAGTTCACTCTTACCTACATGTTCTCTTGGACTCAAGTTCACCATGAATCTCACCATTTTGTTCTGGCTGATTTGTAGCTCATCTTTCATGTTTTTTTTTGTTAAGGCAGAGTACCAAGAAAAGCAAGAGTAGTCTTTAATATATTGTATGAGAGTTAGACATAGTATCCTGCGAACCTCAGTTGGTAGACACTGTGCCTGTCTGTAGAGGAGCTTTTGTCTGGCATTCGCTTTCTTTACTACACTGTTCCATATTAGTTCTCTTGACATGCTTGGGTCAAAGGGGATTCCCAGATATTTCACTGAATTTACTGGAAATAATAGGTACCCCATTACCATTATCAATTTATGTTTCGTGCCAAAGAGTACGACTTCCGTTTTCAGAGCAGTGATAATTTGTAGTCTACCAAAAGTTTGCTAAAAGACTGTAGTTCTTCTGATAGTACCCTAGCGATATCTTGTGGGTCTTTACCTGATACTAACAGCGAACTATTATCTGCACTGATAGGCATGTCATTCACTGCACTGATAGGCATGTCATTCACTGCACTGATAGACATGTCATTCACTGTACTGATAGGCATGCCATTCACTGCACTGATAGGCATTTCATTCAAGTCACACATGAATAGTAAAGGACCCAGGATACTATCTTGAGGAACCCCACATGTCTCACGAAATCGTAATGACACGATTGCAAACAAACCACAAACTTGCATTTGTGGTCACAGTGGTGCCTATGCTAACCTTCCTATGGTGTAGAAATATACCTAGTTGGACGAATCTTATTGTGGCTAGCTGGTCCAGTGGTTAACGCGACGGTCTGGAGTTTTGAGACTCTGACCGCGGGTTCAAATCCCGCCCGTGGTATGGTTTGTTTAACCCCGCATGTCATCAGCATGGGTTCAGATTCTGTGTTGTTGAACTTCACAGTTTGTTTCCTGTTGCACAGGTAGGATTTTAAACCAGTCTACACTATCCATTCCGACAGCTTGTAGTTTCATACATAATATAATGTGGTTGACTCTATCGAAGGCCTTTTGTAAGTCTAAGGTTACCATACTTACGAGATTCCCTAGCGACTTTTGAGTTCTCAAGTAGTCCATCATATTAATGAGGGAGGTGTCTGATGAATGAGATCTTAACCTGAGTAACTATGGAGGATGTTTTTGTCATTACGATACTTAACTACTTGACAGTACACCGCCTTCTCTAGACTTTTGGATATTACACTGAGTATACTAACAGACCTCTATTTGCTGACATCAGACCTGCTATTTTTCTTGAAGACAGGAGTAACTCTGGCCTCCTTGAATCCCCCCGGGACAATATTTGTGGCTATAGACAAATATGTTATGTGTGGAGTGGGTATTGTAATTCAGACGCCATCCTTTAGGAACTTAGGAGGGCTTAATTTACTTAGTTCTTTTCGTGCGAAGTCAGAAGATTCTCCTACTAGTTGCGAACTGATTGGAGCGATACCCTTATTAGTCCAATATGTTTCATATTTTTCAGAGTCTGAATCAGTTGGTAGTTTACTTACTAGTGTTGATGACACAGTTGTGTAGCAGGAATTAAAACAATTTGCCACTTTAGATGTTTCGTGACATACCTCGTTATCGATATTTATTACTATGTTAGATCTATCTACTGGTTTATAGCTATACCTCAACTGTTGCCAGATCTTTCTAGGGTTATTCTTGTACTCTTCGATTTTTGAGCAGTTGAGCCTTGCCTTTGCTCCTTTTATAAGCCTCTGCACTCTGTTCTTCACCTTTAGAATTCATTTAGTGCTGCAATATCCTCTCTGTTTTCCTTAAACCTTTTTAGCAGCTGGTCTCTGAATGTCATATTATCTAATATCTCAGTAGTCATCCAGGGTCTAGTTCTTCGTTTAATCCTATCGTCTTTAACTGGTGTAATATTATCAAGGATGGAAGAGAATTTTTCCCAGGCATCATTTACGACCGTGCAACTTGCTATCACTGTCCAGTCAAAATTTTGTAACCTATTAGCCAGTATTTTTTTCCTGTATTTTCTATTTCACCTGTGTAGGCCTCTCCGAGTCATAATGATTTTCCTGGTACAACAAATGATGTAATGATCACTAAGAGCTGTTGTAATGACGCCTGACTGACTAATGTTGTCAGAGCCATTGCAAAGTACTATGTGGTCTAATATGTTGGCTGAGAACTGTGAGTGTAACAATTTTATTCAAGAATTCGTTTATACCTGTTACATAGTTCATTATTATGCTGTTGGAAACAGATATTGGAGTCTCCCAATATCACTGTCTCAGCATTGCTATCAATTCCGGACAAGACTCTCTCTACTTCCTACTAAGATGGGTTAAGTCTTGGGTAGCAACACCCCAAGCCATAGAATCTCCAGTTTATCATTCAGATCAGGTCTTGGGATGTAGGTTGTCATATCTTACATAGGTACATACACCACCGCCTTTTCTATTCTTACCTAAGCGATGTATATTGTAACCTATTTCAACCACGTCGTTAGTCACCGTGTCATCCAACCAGGATTTAGAGACGGATAAAACTGCCGCCCTGGTTCTCTTAGCTAGTATCCTAATTTCTGATATTTTGGATAAAAGTGACCTCACATTGACATGAATTAAGTGAAGGCTTGTTCTTGAAATACACCCAAATAACCCGCACATAAAAGAGAGAAGCTTACGACGACGTTTCGGTCCGACTTTGACCATTTACAAAGTCACAATAACCAGAAGTGGAGCAGGACGGCTATATATAGACAGGAAGAGGTGGTGGTGGTGGTAGTACAAGAATGGTATATAATACCGACAAGGTGAAATTAAGACACATGCGCAACACCCGGGCATCCCTATCGTAGACGTTACGCCATCCAGCCAGCCACTGGATGGCGAAACGTCCACAACAAAGACACCCAGACGCCGCACATGGGTCTCAATTTCATCAGAAGTAGTAGTAGTAGAAGTAGAGAGCAGTAGGTAGGTAGTGGTAGAAGTGGGGAATAAGGAGGAGGAGCCATCAAAACAAAGGAAGGGGAGCACTGCAAGGGAGCTAGGTGCCCACAGAGAGAGAGCAAGCGCACAGAGGTGGGTGAAAGGGGAATGGTGAAATAAATGAAGAAGGAACAGAAACACGAGACAGAAGAGAGAAAGACAATCCAGAGGAGAAAAAAGAAAGAGGAAAGGGGAAGAGGGAGAAGAAAAAGAAAAAGAAAAGGAAAAATGAGGATTCAGGTTAAGTCACGGGTGTTCTGAAGTTTGGAGCATTTTACAATGTAGTGGGAGAGGAAGGCATCTACAGAGACGAAGCCAGGACTAAGATTCATACAAGGAAAGTTGTGTATCAGAGAGGATTCAACTAGACGGCGACTGTTCGAGTTGGAAGTAGGGAAGACAGTTTTAGCAGAAGACCAGTCAATAGGATGGCTATGATCTCTGACGTGACAGAACAGAACATTGTTAGTGTCGGCAAGCCTAACACTATTTTTGTGCTCCCTAAGTCTGTCAGAAAGAGATCGACCAAACACACTTACACAAACACCAACATCTCACATAGCCACTACCTTAATTTCCTGTAACAAACTAGCCAGTGTTTCTCCGTGTCTCCCGCAGTGCATCACAGCCTGACTGATCAACATCAACATCATGAAGGGCTTCATTGTATTGGTTTTGACTGCTGCTGTTTTGCTGACTGTTACTGCTAAGAATTCCAGGGAAAGAGGAGGAGGAGGAAGAAGCAATGAAGACCGTCGTTCCTGCATTGGTAAGTATTGTTGTAGAAGGTACATTGTTGTAGTAAGTCTTGAAGGTTGTAGTAATATTGTATTGTTGTAGTAGTCTTGAAGGTGTATAAGTTGTATTGTGGTAAGTCTTGAAGGTTGTATAAGTTGTATTGTTGTATAAATCTTGAAGGTTGAGTAATAGTTTATTGTTGTAGTAATCTTGAAGGTTGTAGTAATAGTTGTATTTGTAGTAAGTTTAGTTTGTAGTAATAGTTGTATTGTTGTAGTAAGTCTTAAGTTTTAGTAATAGTTGTATTGTTTAGTAATCTTGATGCTGTTATAGTTGTTTGGTGAGTAAGTTTTGAAGGTTGTAGTATTAGTTGTATTGTTGTAGTAAGTTTTGAAGGTTGTAGTATTAGTTGTATGATCGTAGTGTAGAAGGTTGTAGTAGTATAAGGAGAATTATCACAGCTTATGTTAAAGTTAGTATCAATAGTATAAGTTATATTAGAGTAGTAATATAGGTTGATTAATTAGCAATATTAGTTATGATGAATTAGCATTAAAAGCACCAGCTGCTGCAGTGATATTATCAGTAGCACCAGCTGCTGCAGTGATATTATTAGTAGCACCAGCTGCTGCAGTGATATTATTAGTAGCACCAGCTGCTGCAGTGATATTATTAGTAGCACCAGCTGCTGCAGTGATATTATTAGTAGCACCAGCTGCTGCAATGATATTACCAGTAGCACCAGCTGCTGCAGTGATATTATTAGTAGCACCAGCTGCTGCAATGATATTACCAGTAGCACCAGCTGCTGCAGTGACATTATTAGTAGCACCAGCTGCTGCATGATATTTTTTAGTAGCACCCAGCGCTCAATGAATTACCAGTAGCACCAGCTGTTTCAGTGACATTATTAGTAGCACCAGCTGCTGCAGTGATATTATTAGTGGCACCAGCTACTGCAGTTATATTATTAGTATCACCAGCTGCTGCAGTTATATTATTAGTAGCACCAGCTGCTGCTGTGGCATCGTTAACAGCACTAGCAGCTGCAGAGGATTTTTAATTTGTAGCACCAGCTGGGTGCATGAATTTAGGCACCAGCTACTGCAGTATATTATTAGCACACCAGCTACTGCAGTTAAATTATTAGATCACCCACTGCTGCAGTTAAATTAATTTGAACCACCAGCTCGCTGTGGCATCGTTAACAGCACTAGCAGCTGCAGTGGCATTGTTAAAGCATTAACAGCTGCAGTGGATCGTTAGCACAGTACAACTGCAGTGGGCAAACGTTTAAAAGCACTAGCCCGCTGCAGTGGCATCGTTAACAGCACAACAGCTTTCAGTGGCATCGTTAACAGCACTACACTGCAGGTCAAGTTAACAGCCTAGCAACTGCGGTGGCATCGTTTAAAAGCACTACACTGCAGTGTAAACGTTAACAGCACTAGCAACTGCAGTGGAATCGTAACAAACACTAGCAAATGCAGTAGCATCGTTAAATAGCTCTACACGTGCATTGCATCGTTAACAACAACTAAACAAACTGCAGTGGGCATCGTTAAGAGCACTAGCAGGCGGCATGACAATCGTTAAAAAGCACTACAAAATGCATTGGCAAACGTTAGCAGCACTAGCAACTGCAGTGGTATCGTTAACAGCACTACCACACGTTGTGTGCTACACTAACATGAGTCAGTAATAACACGTTGTGTGGTACACTAACATGAGTCAGTAATAACACGTTGTTTGGGTACACTAACATGAGTCAGTAATAACACGTTGTGGGTACACTAACATAGTCATAAAAACACGTTGTGGGGTACACTAACATGAGTCAGTAATAACACGTTGTGGGGTACACTAACATGAGTCAGTAATAACACGTTGTGGGGTACACTAACATGAGTCAGTAATAACACGTTGTTGGGTACACTAACATGAGTCAGTAATAACACGTTGTGGGGTACACTAACATGAGTCAGTAATAACACGTTGTGTGCTACACTAACATGAGTCAGTAATAACACGTTGTGTGCTACACTAACATGAGTCAGTAATAACACGTTGTGTGCTACACTAACATGAGTCAGTAATAACACGTTGTGTTGTACTTTAACACTTGGTATTAGCACCCGGTGTTTCACTACCATATTACACAACCTAAGGAACTAACATCTGGTTCTCTTGCAGGAAAACTGTGCGGCCGTAACAACGTAACATGTCTGAACTGTGTCAACAACCTGAACCTGACGCGTTCTGTCTTGAAGAACTGTGTGCGTGGTTCATCAGGTATGTAACTCCAGACTTTCAACTGTCACCCAGGTGTCATTCTCTGTTTTATTAGACTAATATTTACACCAACTACACACACATACACATGTACATGTACATATATATTATTTGTTTATTTTTATTAATTCTGGCCGATTCCTACCAAGGCAGGGTGGCCCGAAAAAAGAAAAACTTTCACCATCATTCACTTCATCACTGTCTTGCCAGAAGGGTGCTTTACACTACAGTTTTTAAACTGCAACATTAACACCCCTCCTTCAGAGTACAGGCACTGTACTTCCCATCTCCAGGACTCAAGTCCGGCCTGCCGGTTTCCCTGAACCCCTTCAGAAATATTACTTTGCTCACACTCCAACAGCACGTCAAGTATTAAAAACCATTTGTCTCCATTCACTCCTATCAAACACGCTCACGCATGCCCACTGGAAGTCCAAGCCCCTCGCACACAAAACCTCCTTTACCCCCTCCCTCCAACCTTTCCTAGGCCGACCCCTACCCCCGCCTTCCTTCCACTACAGACTGATACACTCTTGAAGTCACTCTGTTTCGCTCCATTTTCTCTACATGTCCGAACCACCTCAACAACCCTTCCTCAGCCCTCCTGGACAACAATTTTGGCAATCCCGCACCTCCTCCTAACCTCAAAACACAAATTTCGCATTATATCACACCACACATTGAACCAACTGACATCCCACTGCCCCCCACCCTTCTCCTCGTTGCAACATTATCCCCCTGCTTCACATCCAATAAAGCATTGGAAAACATACTTAAACTTTCCCCCTCTTGCCCCCAAAGGGACAAAGTTCTTTGTTCCTCAACTCCTAAGTGCACCTTCACCTTTTTCCCCTCTCAAATCTACGATTCCCACCCCTTTCATAGATCCACTGCTGAACGTCCACTCCTTCTGAATACTTTCCCTCCTCCATACTCTCTCCCCCAATCATACCAAATCTTTCATCACCTATCTTTTTGTTCCCTCAAAACCCTTGTTTTTCCTTTGTATTCACTTTAATTTTTTCTTCTTTTAAACATACCCACCAAATTCTCCACCAACCATGCAATTTCTTTCAGATCTCCTAAAGCACAGTGTCATCAGCAAAGAGCAACGTGACAACCCCACTTTATTGTGTTTCTTTATTGTTAAAATGGTTTACCGGGAAATTTTTAAAAATGGGGAAAATTTTATTTTAGAAAACAGCTATCGCCTGCACGCCGCACCTCAGACGAGGTCTTGAAAGCTGTTTCATCCTTTTTCACAGCCTAAAAATGAATTTTAGTTAAAACTTTTTCCCCTGGGGGGTGTTATGTCAGCATTTTCTTTCACTGACTGCGACTAATTTCGGTGTGGGCTCAAAAATCCGTAATCCCCGGGGTTTTTAAGATTGACAAACTCAACTTCGACTAAAAATCGCATCAAAGTATACATCACAGTTAAACCCCGGGGTATATGCATCTGCCCGTGTTACCCCGGATATCGATGGTTGTTTGAAGAAACAGTTTTCCTTAAAGAATTTTGCACTCACCTTTTGGATCAACACTCGTTTTACCCGCTCATCAAAATTTTTTTCACAAAAATATCACTAAAAATTTTGTCCACTTCTTGTAAGTGTTTATCGTGTTTTTGAACACTTTTCACACTAACACAGGGATCAGTGCTTTGTTAGTTACCCTGGTGTCAGTTGACCTCAGTAAGTCAAAAGTAATTGCCCTCCACGCCCTGCCGTCACTGCCCCAGCACAAAAGGAAAAAGCACCTGCATTTTTTTTTCCCTTCCAAACTTCCCCCCAGAACAAAGCAGAATATTTGATTCTTGCTGCTTAAGCATAGACAAAATGTACAATTTTTACCGGGTAATAAAGGGGGAGCGGTTTTTCCTTAATTGCCTCCAAGGAAAGAGTGGACTGTCTTTTATTAAACTCACTCTGCAACACGGACGAAGGGCGTCGGTCGTTTGCCCCACGTCGCTCTCGTACGTTTTGGGATCATTACTCCCTGTAGCAGTAAGCAAGATCTTTCCCCCTTTTGAGAGGGCTGGGCCCCTCAGGGGTGAAAAGGGGGGGGGCCCCGAAGGGGGGTGATAAAACCCCCCCCTGGAGAAAATTCTCCACTTTTCTTTTAACTTCCGCCCCTTCCAAGACCCTGCATTTTCTTCTCTTTCAACCCCCCCTATAAAAAATTAAACAACCTGGTGACTTCACAATCCTTGTCTAAGGCCTACTTTTACGGGAAATAATCTCCCCCTTTCCCATACTCTAACTTGAGCCTTACTATCCTCGTAAAAACTCTCACTGCTTTTGCCCCCTCCTATTCCAACATTTTCAAAATCTCCACATGCCCCCCCCTACCACCCGTCTAAACCCCCTTTTCCCAAAACCTAAAAATCACAAAAAACCCCTTAGCCCTTTTCTAAAAATTTTTTCCTTAAAAGTTTCACTGAAACACCTGGGCCACACACCCCCCCACCTTTCCCAAAGCCTCCTTTTTCATCTGCTATCCTATTCTCCATCTTACTCTTAATTCTTTCAATAATAACTCTACCATACACTTTACCAAGTATACTCAGCAGCTTATCCCCCTATAATTTTTGCACTCTCTTTTGTCCCCTTTGCCTTTATACAAAGGAACTATGCATGCTCTCTGCTAATCCCTAGGTACCTACCCTCTTCCATATATTTATTAAATAATAGCACCAACCACTCCAAGACTATATCCCCGCCTGCTTTTAACATTTCTATCTTCATCCCATCAATTCCAGCTGCTTTACCCCCTTTCATTTTACCTACTGTCTCACAAACTTCCCCCCACACTCAAACTGGCTCTTCCTCACTCCTACAAGATGTTATTCCTCCTTGCCCTATATATATATATTATATATTATATATATATATATATATTAATATATATATATATATATATATTATATATTATATATATATTATATATAAATAAAATATATAAAATATATATATATATATATATATATATATATTATATATATATATTATATATATATATATATATTATATGTGTGTGTGTGTGTGTGTGTATGTATAAATAGGGAAGTACCACCTCTACAGCTGGAATGGGGACCCTCATCCTCAGAGAAGACAATAAACGTACCTCAGTGAAAACTCAAGGTTCTCCCGGAACTGTTTGAATATTTTCTTCTCCTACCACCCCCTATATATTTTATATTCTATGTGAACACTTATTTACAGAAAAAACAATCATGAATACAATGGCACAATGTATCAAAGATCACGAATTTCCTCCAGCTCCTCCGAGGCTGGATGCGAGCCAAGTATGTAGCAAGCATTTCCCCTCTGGATGGCTATGCTGAGGTGCTGGAACATGAAAGTGGCTGCCCTTGGGTCCCGGGTGGTATCGATGAGTCTGGAACCCAATTCTTTAAGGAAACGTATGGCATTTTTTTCCCATGATCCCAAGGTCTCTGATCCCACTGGGACAAATTGATACTGTTGGCTAATGTCCCTGTACTTGCTGATTTTGTACTCCTCTCTGTGGTCAGCAGCTCCTCCCTGTCACACCACACTGTGATGGATATAGGTGTCAGCCAGTGTGGACGCACAGGTATAGTCCCGTGCTAAGAGCTTGCCATTCTTCCAAGGATAGATGGTGATCCCGTCAGGGCGGTTTGCTGAGTTGTGGGTGTTGTTGGCTGTTAGTGATCGGGGCTCCCTCTCGGCTGGGCATCCAGCTGTAGCAAGGGTTCTCTTGATGATGTCGTTGACCTCATTGTGTCTTGCATGCCAGCCCTTGGTTTTGGAACAGTTAAGACCATGTAGACCATATTGGTCTGCTTGTGCTTCGCCGCAAATACACATATTCTGTGTGAATTGGGGCAGCAAGGCGCAGAGCCACTGCAATACGGAGGGTCTTAGGGTCGAGTCGCGTTCCCATTGCCGATATGGGAACTGTTTGGAGGAAGTCCCAGGAGTGATGTGCACTCACAGCCTGGAGACGGGCAGTCTCCCTATCTGATGTTGCAGCCCTAAGCATGTTGGCAAGTACCTTTTCAGTTATCGGGCCATCCCAACTTGACTGTTTGTGAGCCAGTGCTGCACTAGGGTTTGGCGCTGGAGCAGCAAGAGTCTCCCATTCAGTGATGGCACTGGCATAGCTAGGGTCTTCTATTCCTGCTGAGTCGCTGAGGGTATCAGGAAGAACTTGTCTTATCAACTCGTTTGATGCTATGGAAGAGGATAGGAAAGCTGGTAGAGCAATCTGGGAGGATCTGAGTACTCCTAGCCCTACAAGCCTGACCGGAAGTGAGGCTTGCAACCACTGTCCATCTTCAAGGGAAAGACTCAATACACTCTCTAGCATGGTCTTAAGGAGAGAGTCATATTCCTTGAGTTTTGGACTGCTGAAGGCTGGGGAGCATCTCAGAAAGTAGGTAAGTTTTGGGATTGACAGGCACCTGGTGAGTAGGTAGAACGCATCGTGTGTGTCAATGTCTTTCATCCTGCTTTCCATCGTCCGGAGGTCTGAGACTTTTTTCTAGGATCAGATCGAAGGAATTGGACCAAAGAGGAGCACCAAGGAGAGTGCTATTGGCTGGATCAATGGCTCGTGCTCCTGGTAAAACGGCGCTAATATTCTGGATCATCTGTCGATTGGTGGAAACTATTTCACATTTGGTGGGATTTAAAGAAAGGTCCAGGCTTTCTCCCATGTCTTTAATTTTACTGATGTCCTCTAGGAGAGATTCTGTTGTGCCCGATAGGGTACCATCGTCCAGGAACCAGATATTCAGCTAGCTGGAGAGTGCTTCTGTGACTTCCTTGATGACCAAACAAAATAGAAAGGGGGCGAGAGGGTCCCCCTGTTGCACGCTCTCACATGAGTCAATTTCATGGTCCCCATGAATATATATATATATATATATATATATATATTATATATATATATAATATATATATATATATATATATGAGATGAAAAGCTGTAAGCCTTCTCCCTGAAAGCTGGCT